CAAAGAGATTCCTGGCTTGGACCCGAAAGTAGCGGTCCATCACCTTGCAGTCAAAAATGGTGCTCAACCTGTTAAACAAGCTCAAAGGCGTTTTAGGCCGGACTTGGTTCCCTTGATTGAAACAGAAGTTAACAAACTCATCGAAGCTGGCTTTATTCGTGAAGTTAAGTACCCAACATGGGTTTCAAGTATTGTCCTTGTAAGGAAGAAAAATGGCCAGATTCGAGTGTGCGTTGACTTTAGGGATCTTAACAATGCGTGTCCGAAAGATAAGTTCCTGCTTCCCATTCCAGAACCGATGATCGATGCTACTACTGGGTACGAGGCAATGTCATTTATGGACGGTTCGTCGGGCTATAACAAAATACGCATGGCACCAAAAGATGAAGAGCTTACTGCATTTCGTACCCCAAAGGGTATTTATTGCTACAAGGTAATGCCTTTTGGCTTGAAGAACGCTGGTGCTACTTACCAAAGGGCTATGCAGAATATTTTCGACGATCTTCTCCACAAGAATGTCGAATGCTATGTTGATGACTTGGTGGTGAAATCAAGAGAGAAGGGAGACCACATGAAAGACTTGAGGATGGTATTTGAATTGCTCTGGAGGTACCAACTTAGGATGAATCCATTGAAATGTGCCTTTGGAGTTACTTCTGGAAAGTTCCTTGGTTTCATTGTCCGACATCGAGGGATCGAAATTGATCAAGACAAAGTGGATGCCATTTTGAAAATGCCTGAGCCTCGAGATATCCATGAATTGAAAAGTTTGCAAGGAAAGCTAGCATACCTTAGAAGATTCATATCAAACTTGGCTGGGAGGTGCCAACCATTTAGTCGCCTCATGAAGAAAGGCATTCCTTTCAAGTGGGACCAATCTTGTAGCAATGCTTCCAAAAGTATCAAAACCTACTTGATGAAGCCTCCAGTTTTAGCAGCTCCTATACCTGGAAAGCCATTGATACTATACATTGCGGCGCAGGAAAGGTCTGTTGGAGCACTGTTGGCCCAAGAAAATAGTGAGGGGAAAGAAAACTCTCTTTACTACTTGAGCAGGATGATGACACCTAACGAGTTGAATTATTCGCCAATTGAGAAGTTGTGTTTGGTGCTAGTCTTCTCAATTCAAAAGTTGAAGCACTACTTTCAAGCTCATGTTGTCGTCTTGTTTCTAAAGCAAATCCCGTCAAGTTCGTGATGTCAAAACCTGTTCTTAGTGATCGGCTAGTGAGATGGTACCTCCAATTTCAACAATTCGAGATTTTATACATCCCTCAAAAGGCTGTAAAGGGACAAGCATTGGCAGACTTCTTGGCAGATCACCCGATACCTGATGACTGGTAGCTAACTGATGAACTACCTGATGAGGACGCAATGGTCGTTGAAGTTAAACCTCCATGGAAGATGTACTTTGATGGTGTTGCGCATCGTGGGGGAGCCGGGGCTGGCGTAGTATTTCTCACTCCCCAAGGTGAAGTCTTGCCCTACTCCTTCACCTTGACACAACTCTGTTCCAACAATGTTGCTGAGTATCAAGCATTAATACTTGGGCTAGAAATGGCCGTTGATATGAAACAATTGCAATTGCAAGTCTTTGGTGACTCCCAGTTAGTGGTCAATCAACTTTTGGGTAGTTACGAGGTTAAGAAGCCCGAACTACGCCCATATCATGATTACGCCAAAAAGTTGATGGGGTGGCTCGGTGATGTGACTATTCAGCATGTGCCAAGGAAAGAAAATAAGAAGGCTGATGTTTTAGCTGCTCTAGCTTCATCATTAACCCTGCTTGACAAAGCACAAGTTACGGTTTGCCAAAAATGGGTAGTACCGCCGCCAAATGAGGCTGAAGGTGAAGAAAACAACTCAAGCATCTTGTTGCCGTTTCTGAATTTGAGAAAGAAGAATGGCGACAACCCATTATCGATTACTTATGCGGGATACTTCCAGAAAATCCGAGGAGAAGGACTGAAATCCGTCGTCGTGCACCTCACTTCCTTTACTACAAGGATACTCTATACAGAAGGCCGTTCGAGGGAGTACTCTTGCGATGCCTGGGAGAAAAAGAAGCTCTCCAAGCTTTGCAAGAGGCACATTCTGGGGTATGTGGGTCACACTAGTCTAGACCAAAGCTCCAATTCCATATAAAAAGGATGGGATATTATTGGCCAACGATGGTAAAAGATTGCTTGGACTACGCTCGAAGATGCAAGGATTGTCAATTCCATGCGAATTTTATTCATCAACCTCCTGAAGTGTTGCACCCGACTGTGGCATCCTGGCTATTTGACGCTTGGGGATTGGATATTGTTGGACCACTGCCAAAGTCCTCTGGTGGGCACCTATACATATTGGCTGCAACTGACTACTTCTCAAAATGGGTTGAAGTTGTTGCTCTTAAAGAAATAAAGAAGGAAAATGTCGCAAGTTTCATCCGAGTAAACATTATTTATCGATTTGGCATTCCTCGTTACATAATAACGGATAATGGAAAGCCATTCGACAATAGGTTGATGAACAAGATTTGTGATCTCTTTGGCTTCAAGCAACGTAACTCTTCGATGTACAATGCTCCCGCCAATGGTCTAGCTGAGGCATTCAACAAGACTCTATGCAACTTGTTAAAGAAAGTCGTCTCCAAATCCAAACGAGATTGGAATGACCGTATGTAAGAAGCTCTATGGGGATATAGGACGACTCACTGCACGCCAACACATGCGACTCCTTATTCACTCGTTTATGGAGTCGAAGCCGTCTTGCCACTTGAGCGTCAAATACCTTCGTTACGACTGGCTATTCAAGAAGGGATCACTGATGAAGAAAATGCTCGACTTCGATTAGAAGAGTTGGAAGCTCAACAGAGTCTTGAATGTTATCAAGCTCGATTATCTCGTGCCTTCAATAAAAGAGTTCGCCCAAGATCCTTTCAAGTAGGAGATCAAGTCCTTGCCGTACGAAGACCCATAATTACTTCCCATAAACCTGTAGGGAAGTTCACTTCAAAGTGGGATGGGCCATATGTCGTACAAGAAGTTTATTCAAGTGGGGCCTACAAGCTGGTTGATGCAGATGGTATGAGAATTGGCCCTATCAACGGCAAGTTTTTGAAGAAGTATTATCCATGAAGTTGCGAGTCATGATGCTCCTCGACGTACGAGCCTAAACTGCAAGTCATGATGCTCCTCGACGTACGAGCCTAAACTGCAAGTCATGATGCTCCTCGATGTACGAGCCTAAACTACAAGTCATGATGCTCCTCGACGTACGAGCCTAAACCGCAAGTCATGACGCTCCTTGACGCACGAGCCTAAACTGCATGTTGCTACACTCCTGGCCCGCATGAGTCTAAACTGTGTACGGCCCCCTATATATATATTAAAAAAATAAAAAAGTCCGCTAGGTTGAAAATCTCGAAAGAGGCGGCTAGGCAAAAGTTAGGACGTAAAAAAAAAAAGAGATTATTACCTAGTCTGAACTACGGTATGACTTGATCCTCTTCACCGAGGTACGTAGGCAGCTTAGAGTTTTCACTCTAAGTTCAGTCACATAAGTTCAAATTGCCCCAATTGTTGCCCGAGTGAAGTATGAAGAATGTAAATAAGCTTAATGCCATCCTCCTGTTGAACTTTGATCTCATTTGATTTAAAAGGGGAAAGCTTCCATGGTAAATTTGTGTCTTCAATGGAATGATTATAGTCTTTTAGGAGGCTACCAAGCATTTGCAATGAAGCCTGGTGATTCGTTATGCCTTCAAGTTCGCCAAACCTTCAAATTTTTGGTCTTCAAGTTGAAGTCTGCAAATCCGCCAGTCTTTAAGTTGAATTATTCAAGCCCTCCAAGTCCATCGGCCTTCAAGTTGAAGTCCTTAAGTTCACTAGACTTCAAGTTGAGATACCTAAGCCCTCCAGGTCTCCAATTTGAAGTCTTTAAGTTGAGGTCCTGAAACTCATTGGTCTTCAAGTGGAAGTATTTGAGCCCTCAAATTTTTTCAGATTGAAACATCAAAGTCCGCCGAATCTTCAAGTTTTTCAGTCTTCAAGTTGAAATCTGCAAAGTCCGCCGAATCTTCAAGTTTGTCAGTGTTCAAGTTGAAGTCTGCAAAGTCCGCCGAATCTTCAAAGTTTTCCAAGTGTTCAAGTCGACGTCATCAAGTCCATGAAGTCTTCGAGTTGAAGCTTTATAACTTTCCAATCTTAAGGTGGACATATAAGCCCCTTTGCACCTTAAGTCGGCCTCTTCGTGGGTTTGTCCTTAAAAAAAACTATAATTTTCCAATCTTAAGGTGGACATATAAGTCCCTTTGCACCTTAAGTTGGCCTCTTCGTGGGTTTGTCCTTAAAAGGAACTATAGTTTTTCAATCTTAAGGTGGACATGTTAGTCCCTTTGCACCTTAAGTTGGTCTCTTCACGGATTTGTCTGTCTATATGGTGATGAGGATTTATTCGTCTATATGGTGATGTGGTTTTTCCGTCTATATGTTGATTCGGATTTGTCCGTCTATATGGTGATGCGGATGTGTCCATCTATATGTTGATGCGGATTTGTCTGTCTATATGTTGATGTGGATTTGTCCGTCTATATCTTGAGGGAGATTTGTCCGTCTATATGTTGATGCGGATTTGTTCGTCTATATGGTGATGTAGATGTGTCCATCTATATGTTGATGCGGATTTGTCCGTCTATATGTTGATGTGGATTTGTCCGTCTATATCTTAAGGGGGATTTGTCCATCTATAAGTTGATGCGGATTTGTCCGTCTATATGATTATGTGGATTTGTCCATCTATATGTTGATGTGGATTTATCCGTCTATATATTGAAGTGGATGTGTCCGTCTACATGCTGATGTGGATTTGTCCGTCTATATGATGATGGGGATTTGTCCGTCTATAAGTTGTTATGGATTTATCCGTCTATAAGTTGTTGCAAATTGATCTGTCTATGAGTTGTTGCAAGATCTGTCCGTCTATAAATTGTTGTGGATTTAACCGTCTATAAGTTATTGCAGGTTCATAACAAATAAAACCAAACAAAGATAGTTAGCATAGATAGGAGTCTATCTCCAGTAGGCACCGGAGTAGATCTACACTAAAAAAAAAAAGAACACCAGACATGAAAACAAATGTCTCAAGACACTTATTGAAACCTTCTAAAACTAAAAAGAGTCCCGCCGTCGAGAGACTTTAATAACTATAGCATGCCAGAAACGGGGAGTTGAGGTGGTTAGACCTATACCCCGAAATGCTCCCAGCATAGGAGCCTATGGTTCCATTCTTGTTGTTGCTGGAGGTACACATCCCTCTTCTCGGTGTGGAACGATACACGAGAAATAGATGCTCAGCCTGCAATGTCCGATAACGGCGCTCACTCGACAACTTTTCTTCTTGGGCCTACAAAATAAAAGAAGGGAAAAATAAAAGCAAAGGGAAATATACAGAAGAAGAAATTACCATCTGATATTTTCTAATTGTCGAAGGCAAACTTAAAATGGCTCGTCTGCACAGCGAATTGATGCTCACAAGTTGGAGATGACGCGTTCTTATATAGCTTTCTCAAGGCAGTAACTGGGAATAAAGTTCCGATGTGGGACATAGTTACTGCCCCTAGTTGGAAGTGGTTATTGTAAGACGGTGATAGGTTTTCTAAACCTTTTTGGAGATGTGCAGGTTTTGTTAAGGCAAACATGATAAAAGGGTAGCGATGGATTCGTAATTTCAAAAGGCTACTCGAGTTAGAAAAGCAGGAAAACAAGTTCCATTAGGATTCAATGTCTACGGAAGTATTACTAGCTTGACACATATATAAAAGCTCGTGTACTTATCCTTTTGGAGTTACAAAGGCATAAAAAGTCTTTATCTACTAGCACTACATTTACTTGTAATGCAGGATTTGGCTTTTTAAAATATTGAAGCACAAGAGGTTATTAAACCAAAATAGTGGTAAATAACATATTTGGGCAAAGGAACACAAGTGTTGCTTAAGTGTAATCTCCAAAGAGATGCTTAGTTGAAACTTGCCAATTTATAAAATTGTGCAACACCGTGATCAATGATATGAGGATTTGCACCGACGAAAGAAATGCTATTTTTTGATTATTTAAGTAACCAATTGAATGATTAAGGGAATCCTAAAGTCCATAAGTGCTTGGCATAATTCAGATTATACGAGGGAAAATAAATGATGCCATATTAATACTTCAACCCTTGCCTAAGTTTTAACAAGTTATCTCACAAGTCTTGAAGTAGGGAGCATTTGTTGGCATGCAAAATTTATTGAATTTAAATTCAATAAAATAATTTGGACTATATTTTAAATTCAAGATATATTGGTCCAAACAAATATTATGTGCTAATATAATTGAATTAATAAGTCCAACATATATGAATTAATTAAATAAGTCTTAATCCATTGGGCTAGCCCATTTAATTGGGCTAAAGTGATGAGCCCACTTCATTAAGCCCAAGATGCCATCTTCCTAGAGGCCCAGTTTGGTGCCACGTGTCAAATGACGTGGCACACCAAGTCAAATGGAAGAGCCAATGGGATCATGCCACGTGTCAAAATGACAAGGCATGCCAAGTCACACTAAAAGGCCAATGAAATCGCGCCACGTGTGCAAGTGACATGTTCTGGCCAATCAAATGCGGCCTTGTCACACTTGATTTGATTGGTCGAAAAGAGTTTGTTCTTATCATAACTCTTCCCTCCGACAACTATAAAAAGGGGTCTTCATAACTCAGAAAAGACACAAGAAGTTATAGCAAGAAGCAAGAAAGAGCTCGTGGATCAAACACTGCAAATTCCTCCACAAGTTTCAAGCTTCAAGCAATCAAGTTCAAGAAATCAAGTTCAAGTTTAAGAACGAAGAATAGATCAAGTATTCAAGCTCAAGAACGAAGAACAATTCAAGTATTCAAGATCAAGAGCGAAGTCAAATCAAATACAAGGCGTTCAAGATTAAGGCTACTTGTTCGTGATAAAATTCGTGGCAACAATCAAAGTGTTCGCGACGGATAAATCAAATTCAAATTCAAGATCAAGCTCAAAGGCCCTTGAATTCATACTAGAAAAGTAGAATCAGAGGAATCATAGAGATTGTACACTCAAATATTCGAAATCAAATACTACGATTGTTGCGATATTTTCGGTCTTGATTTTAATTTTCTCGACGCAAATTTATTGTCTACACTCGCGTCGTTACCTTGTTTTTTCCTCTCAATCTCACCCTTTATTATTATTAAATAATTTATTTTATCTTTTACCCTACCTTTTTAGGTAGTAATTTATCTCTATATCATAATTTTTCTTTATAATATTATAAATTTATTCTTCATATTACTGGTGCGTGATATCATGAAACGGTGACAAACGACACAATCTATCTAAACATTGTATTTATCAAACGATACAGTACAATACAATACAATGCGATACAATACATTATGAAACGATGTGTAACAACCATCCAAACAAGCTGTTAAGGAATTTATATTTTAGTTTTACTTAAAAATAAAATTGATCATATTTACTGTAATTTGCTCATTAAAAATATAACAAACTATTCTTAAACTCTTTACTCCGAGGACAACTTTGGAAATAAGAAGCTAATTCCTTCTTGAAATTAGAAAAAAAATACTGTGGACAATAAAAAAAAAGAGTTAATACCCTCAAACCCGCCTAAACTATACGATTTTTGTCAGTTTCCTACCTAAACTATCGAGTGTCCTCGAAAACTCCCTGAACTATATCCCCTTTCGTAATAAAACCGCCCCGTCGCATTAGCCCTAGTGCGTATGATACAGGCTCTAAATAAATTATAAAACATGCCATGTGGCATGCCACATGGATAATTAATCTAATTAATCATAAAATCGACTTAATTAGCCTAAAATAAGTTAATTACTCTCGGTCAAAAAAATTGGGTGGGTTTTTACTCGTTCCCTTCAGTAAAGTGGGTCATTTACTCTCAGTCGAAAAAATGTCTTTTACTCTCATCAGAGAATACTCTCATCGGACCTCAACATCTCTTCTCTGATCATTTCCTTCGATTTCTCTTCAAAACTAGTCTACCATCGATTCCTCTTCAAAACTAGTCGCTGCTATTTCGAATTTGGAATAAAGGTGAAGTTTTGCTTGTGAATCAGAACAAAATTAGGGCTTAGGGTTTTGCTGGTGAAATATCTTCCTCCGATTCTTTGAAGAATCTGAAGATTATTAAAGAAGATTGCTTCAATACAAGTTTTATTCTTTATTCCCTATTCACTTTGTTACAAAATTGTAATAGGTAGGTGCTGCGATTTAGTTCGTAGTAGAAAAAATTTTGGGTCTTTTTTTTAGGTGTTAAACCTCATAACTCTTCTACAATGGGTGTTTTTCTTTCTAATTAATTTGGGTAACAATGAAGGATGGATAAAATACAAAAGCGAAAAAATAAACTCAATAAACAGAGATAGAAATTCAAATGGATTAAGATGAAGAAAGAGATAAAAAGGGTGAAGAAATGGTGACGAAAGGTGAAGAAATGGTGAAGAAAGGTGAAGAAATGGAGAAGAAAGGTGAAATAATGGAGAAGATGGCGTAATATAAAGAAAAAGGGATAAAATATGAGATTTTTAAATAAATGGGCTAATTAGTTGTTATTCAAGCAGTCAGGTGGGCCCCTTTTCATGCTGATTTTCACCCTTCACGCGCTCTTCCGCAACTGATTTCACACAATATGCCACATAAGCGACGAGGGGGTTTTATTACAAAGGGGATATAGTTCAGGGGGTTTTCGGGGACACTCGATAGTTTAGGTAGGAAATTGACAAAAATCGTATAGTTTAGGCGGGTTTAAGGATATTAACTAAAAAAAAATGACCAAAAAAAATTACTTAAAGTAGAACGGAAGGAGTAATGTTTAGTTCAAATATCATATTACAGTATTCATTATTTCCTTCATTAGTTCAATTGTTCGACAAGACCACAGTTGACAACTTATAAAAAAAGACACTAGTTTAAGAACTGAATTGTGCTCTTGAGAGATGGTATGAAAGACAGCCACTTTAAATCCTCTTATGTAGTCTTGTTTATTTTCTTGTCACTCCACAATGAAAGGAAAGAAGAGAAAAAAAACAGAACAATTTAATGTACAATTTTGATGAGCTAGTTTTGCTTGTCTTTGACATGGAAAACTTATAGAAACTGATTCAAGAGAAATCAATGAAAGAAAATTAAGTTGCATGATTTACACAAATTCAGATAGAGTAAAAAATTAGTACAAGCAAATTTTGTCACAACACAATTTAATAAACAACAGGGCAACCTTGTTTAATAATCCCTTTGGCTGTTGGACAAGAAGCATAAGGACATCCATCTAAATCATTTCCCCACCAGTTAACACTTATATTCTCCAATCCCAAACACATATACAAAAGAACTGCCATAAATGCCAGACCAGCATCAAGTGCACCAGAAAGAACATAGTTATGTCGCTGCCACCAATCTGGCCTATATCGATAAACAACATACCCCGACAAGAACCCTACAATAATCCAGGTTGTGTAGTTCACAGCCGTGGCCGGTGGCATCATCCCAGTAGCTCCTATCAACACTGGCATGTTAATGAGTTTGATCCATTCTTGCTTAGGGAAAGACCTGGCTGCTAACCATACAACAACTGGCGCAATAGCACCAAATAAGAAGAACCAATTGACCATCCCATAAGTTCCTAAATCTCCAAAAATCCTTCTTGGCGCTATCAAACCCCATATCACTGATGCATCGTAGAATACATGATCTGAAGGACAAGTCCACACGGTGTTGGACAATGTTTTATTGCATATGTCTGGAATTGTTTCCATTAACCACCATGCAGTTCCCAAATACACGAACCCTGCTATTAGAGTCCCTACTATCTGCATTGTCCATTTTCTATGATTGTAAGCCCATATATAAAGACACTTAACGTGCAACGAGAGTAAAATAAATCAATCAACTAACGAGTTCCTTTCTTGAACTAGTAGAGATCCACTATATGAATCATCTGAATCCATTCTACTGTATTCGGAAAATTAACTGGCAGAGTGAGTAGTGAATAGTTTACCTGAGCCATAAACATGGTTCTTGGTGGAATTTTCATGTAATGACCGAGCTTGAAATCTTGGAGGAAAGTAATAGCTTGATTCATACTAATATAGCCATAAACCTTGAAACACATGTTAGCAACCGGATATCCTGGATAAAGGTATCCTATGATATACTCCGTGATAATATTCAACCCTGGTGTCTACAATGACCAAGAATATCAAAAACAAATGCGAATTAGACTCTATTCGCTTAGTAACTAGCACACAAAACTGTGGATCTATGAGATTACCTGGTTAGTAATGGCAGTGATTATTCCGATAGGAAGTGTAAAGAAAATGGCAATGACACAAGCTAGAATAACTCCCCACCAAGGTAACTGAAGTTGCTCGTTGTAATATTCACAAGCAAAGACAGTGAGTGTAATGTTTGCCACAAGAATGCACCAAAACCACCACTCAGGTACTTGGTTATACTTGCTCATTAGTTTAGTGTGTATGTCCATTTTCTTCTCTTTAAAGCTTGATTTGCTTTGCTCCCATATTTCCCTGCAATCAAAAAATCCTCATGACATAACTTTCCATATAACACAAATGTACCAACTAATGACTAAAGAAAAGACAGCCTGATGCACTAAGCTCCTGCTATGCGCAGGGTCCGTGGAAGGGCTGGACCACGAGGGTCTATTGTACGCAGTCTTACCTGCATTTTTGCAAGAGACTATTTCCCAGGCTAAACCCGTAACCACTTTGATCACATGGCAACAACTTTACCAGTTACGCCAAGACTCTCCTTCAATGTTACCAATTATTACCAGAAATAACTAAGTTAATACTAATTAATGTACCTTCCGTGAAATAAAAGAACGTGCATGACAGTAGCGCTGAGAGCAGCGAAGCCAACTCCATAAGTAATAACGAAAAATGTACTGAGATAAAGATGTCCTTGTTGCTCATAGGCAGCAATGTCAAGATGGAAATTAGAGTCAATGATACTTGATATGTTGTAAAGTTGGCCAGAGGAAGTAAAGAGTCCATCAGAGAAAATAGGAAATGTTTTGGCTTTGAAGACATCTAACCAGTAACATATTGGAGTCAAAATATACATAATGAAGAAGAATCCAACAGCAACATTAGCTGTAGCAAACCAAGGACTAGCTAATGGACTTCCGAGATAAGAGGAAATAGAGGACCAATCCAGGCCTATAGCACCAATGCCAAGCCCATTTAGACCTGAACCAAGTTGTTGGACAAAAACTGATTTTGGAAAGATCCAACAGATCCATGATAAAGATGTCAGCATTGAAAAGAAATAGCCAGGGAAAACATAGTAAGCGAAACTGCAGATAAAGGCTATTAGGAAGAACTGAGTACGCGTTAATCCGCCCTTTGAACGTTCTTCTTTTTCGTGTAAAGCCCTGCAATATAAATTATATGTTCTATTAGAAATGAAGAATTTTACTCTTGATAGAGAAAAGTAAAAGAAAAAGTCTATTCATGTGGAACAAACTAGTTACAGATACTCATGGACCTATAGAGTTAAAGTATAGGTTCAGTTGAACCCACCATTTTTAACTTCAACCAAAGATATATATGTGAAATACCATGAGAAGTAGCAAAATATTAGGTTTGAACCATTTTTTCAAAGATTCGGGACTTTGAACCCGTTAAATTTAAATCATGAATCAAACTCTGCAGATTACTTGTAAAGATACGAATCCTCTTGAAAGAGAGGGATGCTTTCTGGAATGTGGACACAGGTGGTGCATGACTGTCATCAGCTCGTGCCGTAAGGTAAAGGTGTCCACGTTAGTGATAGTGCAAGAATATTTAAGGATTAATACACTAACACTGTTACAGCAACAAAAAAAAAATTAAAAAAAGTTTTCTAGTGCAATGTTGCATTATCTGGATCCAAAAAATCCTTTGCCAACGTGAAAAACGTGGAAAAAGCTTTATCTTGAGGGGAACTATTATCTTAAATGGATCATTCTAGATGTAGTCCCTCCATTCACTTTTACTTGGCACGTTTGACTTTTCACGCCCTTTAAGAAATAATAAATGAAGTGCATAATTTACCAAGATACTCATATTAATTGATGCATATTTTATTGGATTTGAAAAAATAATTTGAAATGAGTAGTAAATATTGTGGGTATAACAGAAAAAAAATTTGTCTTCTCTTATACACATAAAGTGACAAGTAAAAATGAAAATCTATTTTTAGTATACATGCCAAGTAAAAGTGAACGGAGGGAGCAGTTATTAACGCTACTTAAAGAAAAGTTCTCCTAATATTAAATTCTTTGTTTGGAAAAAAGAAAATTGATATCTTTATTTACCTAAAATGCATTTCGGCATTTGCTACCCTGTATAAATATCTTCTCTGTTATTTCATTTTCTTCCTAATTTCAAAGGATATTATTTCCCCGAAAAGCAATTCAATTACTACAACTATGTGGGGTCCATGTACCGCTATCAATTATCATCATAATTATCAGCCGCACCCAGCCGAAAAAATTAGTAATTGTTATCAATCAAGAACAGTGCCAAAAATCAATTATCTTGGTTTTTCTATGTATTATATCTATATGTTATCTTGGGTTTTCTCAACAAAAAAAAAAAAAAAAAAAAAAAAAAAAAAAAAAAAAGCAAAATCATTTGGTGATGCATTTTCATGTTAGCATGTTAGTACATTATTAGTGTATTCACAAGATGATTCAAAAAGATCCCAGCTTGCATGGTGAGTGAATACCCTTAATTACTTAGCTATATATTAAGGGATTCAGCAATTTATATTATACAAAGTAAATCGTTTTAACCTCTATTATAAATATAATTTTACGTACAAA